AGGTCACCACACCCGAGTATTTAAGCTTGTTAAAAGTAATAATTACTTTATTATATATATATTTTTTATATATTTACTATATAGCATACTATATTTCTCAAATATATATTTTTTGATTTATGCATTTTCTTTTTATATATAAAGCTTTGTTTTCTTGTAGTTTTTATATCAATATTGTAATAAAGCTATGAATTTGATTGGTTAATAATCACAGATAAATCTATAAAAATTAACCAATTAGATAAACTTTTGCTTATAAAATATAAACAAATATTAGTGATTGGCTGGGAATACCTGTCAGTTTACTTGGATCAGCCTAACAGGTTATTTAAGTTGGATGGGTTTAATTACTATACTAGTGTTTATATATATATATATATATTAATTTTTAATTTACAAATTTGTATAACATATTAATTAAATAAATGAAAAATTAAACTCTTGTTTATAGTTAGGGTAGAAGTAGGTTTGAGATTGTAACGAGTATTGTTATCAGAATAGAATTGGTATTAAAAATATAAACATAAGGCTTTTATTTACTACTACAAATAGGCAGAAATGAATGATATAGTTGAAATATATAATGTTGGATATTGTTATTGAAATGTGATTGATATTGAAAAAGACAAGCAAAAGGCTTTCAAAAATTAGCAAAGATAGATAATACTATTGAAATATATAATATTAGATATTATTGAAATGAAATAGTATTAAAAAGAATTAACATAAAGCCTTCATATTATCAAAAATTAGTAGTGATGAATATTACTATTAGAACATATGGGCTGTCAAAAGTAGAAACCAAAGAATTTAACAAATTTTTAAAAATTAACCTGTTTGATTAATTAGATATAAAATTTAAAGCCCAATCTTTTTTACTTAATAATAAAAGTTTGATTACTTAATAAATTTTTGTAATACAATGATTAAAAGCTTTTAATACTACAATCTAAAAATAGATTTACTAATACAGATGCTAGTAGATAATAATTTACAAATTTAATAATCTTGTTTAAACAGCTTTGTTAATATTGAATAAACTATTTTTAGATTGGTTTAATTTTGTGTAATAAAAGTTTTTGCCAGTTTTCTCAAAAGCTATAATTGGCAAAATTCTCTAGTTTCTACTTTTGAGATCTCATATAATATTGAATATTGTTATTAAAATAGAATTAATACTGAAAATAAACATAAGAAAACTTCCACTTATTATATAAATATAGCCCCCCTCTAGAGTCAGTTGTTTGACACAATCATTTGACAATTACAAGTTCTAAAATAATTAATTGTTTGACAATTACAAGTTCTAAAGTAATCGAATTTGTAATTGTCAAACTATTATGTCAAATGACTAACTCTGAAGAGGACTATATCTATCTAATATCTGGGAACTCTCTAAAAGACTTTTAGTAAAACACTCTGAATTAGATATTATCAAATTTGTAGAGAAGGTAATCTGAATATTAGATCCTGATAGCTGCAACCAAAATAAAATTAGGGTTGAAAAATATAAATACAAAGAATTAATCTATTATTAGATATTGGAAAAGATGAACTTAGGTATTTATTATTAGCAGAAATTAGCAGAGATTAGCAGAGATAAGAGTGCTGATAAAATATTGTATTTGGTAGTTGCTATCAAAGTGAAATTGGAGTTAAAAAGAACGACTATAAGACATTCTTTTATTATCAAAAATTAGCAAAGATTCACCTTAAAAATTTTACTAGCAATTAAATTTTAATATCAAGTAAATATAAAAGAAATATAAAAAATCAAGACAATATAAAAATTGTTTATAACTTAAAAATTTAGTTAATAAAACTGCTTTTTGTACACCAATAAAAATTTTGGTACAATAACCCACCACTTTGAGTTTACTAATTTCTTCTACCACTTCTAATTGGTTCTACTAATTATTCACATATTAGAGTATTTGTGCTATTAATTAAATTTATAGTACTTTGATAATAAAGTAGTGGGAAAAATTAGTAAACCCAATAACCTTAACATAATAGCAAAATAATGACAGATGTAATTTTTATTATAAAGTGATTCAAAATTCAATAGGTTAAAAAAATGAATACAATACAAGCACTAGATAAAATGTAATTGTCATTGTTCTTATATATAAGCTATTAGGTTAAAGTCTAATTAAAGAGAGAGAGAGCAAATTTGTTGCCTGAAACACCTGATAAAAAATTTGCCTAAATAAGTTAGTTTTACAGACATACATGTTCATGAAGTGTTTGATTAATAGTTTGAGTGACATTCGAATCATTCCATTCATTTTACCAGTATAATCGACAAATTCCTTTTATATACTGATTATGCCAAAGTCACTAATCGACGGCAAATTTTTTATCAAGTGTTTTAGAAATATTTTTATAATAGGTGAGTGATGTCCAAAAAATTCTGCTTTTTGTGCAACCCGAGCTTGCGGCTATAATATCAGTTAACGGTATTAAACTTATATTAATGTTTCGCAGATGCGATCCGAGGGCCGAATCCGAATCGTCGGATTGTGTTCCGGAAGCTCGGGTTACACGGAAAAGCTAACTTACTATATTTTTAGTACTGCCGTAACTTTGTATTGCTGTAATTTTTGTATTTCTATATTGACGTAACCACTAAAATAAAGATACAGCAAGCGTCAGTAATTACGGCAAGCATCAGTAATTACGGCAAACGTCAGTAATTACGGCAAACGTCAATAATTGCGGTTCACGTTAATAATTACGGTTCACGTTAGTGATTACGACCTACGTGACGACACATCAGTTGGACGTCTTCAAATGTCTGCATCTATAGAGGAGGGTGAAATTCAGGACGGAGAACAGACAGCACAATCTTTACAATGTAACGATTGTCAGAAACTACTTCGCGATGGTAAAGTTTATACGTTTAACATTCTTACAAAATTAAATAGGTTGCCCTGCTTTCTAATTAAAATAAATTAAATACGAATTCTTTAGCTAGCGCTGCGCAAAATCATGCGACCAAAACTGGTATTTATATCAAAAAATTTTTATGCCAATTATTTTGTTTAATTTTGACAAACTCACTAATAAAATCAAATAAAATAGGTCATGTAAATTTTTCTGAATCTACCACTGCCATCAAACCATTAACAGAAGAGGAAAAGAAAGCAAAATTATTAGAATTGAAACAACGTTTGGCCGAAAAGCGTGAATTACGTGTTATGCAAGAAAAAGAAGAAGAGAAATCTCGTGAAAGGATGCGAAGACAATCTGGTAGAGAATTGTCAGAGGCCAAAAGCAAGTTGGAAGAAAAGGAAATGCAAAAGTTATTGATAGCGAAAAAGAAAGAAAAAGAAGACGAAAAAATTGCTAAGGCTAAAATAAAGGCGCAGATCGAAGCTGATAAAAAAGAAAGAGCAGCGAAGGTGAATAAAATTATCGAATACGAAATCTGAGGGGAATTATAAATAATTAACTACCGATAATCATTAATTTTTATAGCGTGAAGCTGCAAAACAAGCGACTCAAGCTCAAAAACAAGAAGAAGCTGCCGCAGAGGCAGCGGTCGCTGCAGTAAAGAAAGAATACACAGAAACACGGTTACAGGTCCGGCTTTTATATATTATTGCTTTACATTTGGATTTATTCGATCGCGTTAAATTTATTCATTCGTTTGATTATTTTTCAAAGATTCGACAACAAACAGGAGCACCCATCACTCAAACATTTCAATCTACCGATACTTTACAAATTGTGTACGATCTTGTTAGTCAACATGTTCACGGTCCATTCACATTGATGACGACATTCCCAAGGTACAGAGAAAATTTTTTCCGAGAATTGCTAATTTCTTTACTAATTGACGATTTTGCTTTTTATATGCTTATAGGAAAGTGCTTGGAGATAGTGAAATGCAAAAAACTTTGAAAGATTTGAGTAAGTAACTATATATATATATATATATATATATATGTACATTAGTTTACTTACGTTTTTCATCCTTTTGAAATAGATCTTGTTCCATCAGCAGTCTTGGTAGTAAATACATCATAAATATGAAATTAGAATTTCACTTGAAGGTTGTTGCTTTTTGGGTTAAACGTTACTTTTGTAAAAATACTAATTCACTGGATGTTGACATAACTTATTAGTACGATGATTAGGAAATTGTTAAATATTGTGAATATATATGTAATATCACAAAAGGTCAGAATGGAAATTATTTTTCAAATATTGGTGGCCTGAATGTGATTAAACAACTTTTCTTTAATAAAACTGTATGTATACAATAAAATACAATATAAATTTGATATATAAATACTTTTCTATCTCTTACGTAACATTATTATAATAAATTACAGTATTATTAAGGAATTATTAATGGTTTACTATTATCTATTGATATCTTTGATATCGTTTATGAATTGACCGTAGCCTCGATTGATGTAAATAATTCTTCCATGAAATCCATTCTATACAACAAATAATGGCCACCGTCCTTAACAACATTTAATTTTAAATTATTCATTTTGCTACTCATATACGTCCATGCTTGTAACGGAACATTATCATCTTGTTCACCTACAAAAGCTTGAATCGGATGCGTAGTATCTTCATATTTATAACCCCAATCAACTTTTTCTAACGCTACCATAGCATCGATATGTGCACCAGTACGATTTTGTAAATTCCATAATCCATTTTGATAAATCTTTTTGTGTAAATAACTACGACCTGGAGATATGGTACTCATCATGCTTTCGACTGTAGGCGTCATTGGTTCATCGTCAATCGTTGAAGAAGAAGATGATGATGATTGAGATGATGACGTTGTTGATTGAGATCTAAGGGAGTGTGTGGAAATGCGAGAGGGTGCTGAGGAGCCTAATGTACTCCACATATTAAAAAAGTTGGACATGTGTGGTAGGGAGCTCAATGTCGTACGAATCAAGAAATTTGGGGCAAATTTTGCGATGCCTTTAGGAATAAAACGATAGTAAATTTTTTAATTGTAATTATATAAAAGTAAGATCTATCAATAATATTATACAAACCTTTATAGTAAAGTAAATGACCTGGTGTACTAGTTGACACCCAGGGACTAATCGTAAATATCGGACCTTTAATTCTCTCTGGGAAATTAAGTGAATAAGCTAAGCCATAAACGGCGCCCAGCGAAAAAGTCGCCATACCAAATTGCCACATTCTTAGTATCAGAGTCAATTCGTTGATCATATCAGCAAATTCAAATAAGTCTGGAACTCCGCATCTTGAATAAATATCATCACTATCATTATAGCCAGGTCTATCCACCGAAATTAGACGGATATGATGTCGTCTTGCAAGATTGTGATATAGAAGGATTGATATTGCTGGACCCATGTTTCCTAGTAATGAGAAATGAAAATGAGATAATGTAGATAATATATCGATTGACATTGAAAAAAGGCAAACAAGTAAATCTATGTATGTACCTGTAAGCCAAAGCACAGGATAACCTTCTGGATCTCCAACTTCACAGACCCCAACTTTTTTACCACAGCTTGCAAGAGTAATAACTTGATGAGAACGAGGGTTATCTATTAGTGCTTGTGCTTTTTTCAAGCTCATACTGTGGACGAATAAGTCGTCCTCCGAATCGCTTTGATATGTCATTGTGTCTACACCTTTGTTCTCTTAATCTTGAAGGGAAAGAAAGAGAAATCCGGTAGAAAGAAAATAGGGTTTATTTAAAAGTATGACAATGCATATACCTCTGGTATTGTGGCGCATATGTAGTAAAGAATGTATAGGAGAGAAAATAGGTGACCGAATGAGCGAATTCAAGTTTTCAAACAAACAAACTCAAAGTTCTTAAAGTACATTTTCGAGCAACGTACGTACTTGGTGCGACTAAACGTTTAATTAATGTGGACGAGTTTATGATCAATGTTCCACATGTTTGTCTTCCCAAACAATGTTGCTATGTTTTTTGAATTTTAGATTTGTGTTCATTTTTACCCATGCTAGTCAATTATTGGTTTGTATAATGGGAACTTGAGTGAATTACTACGTAATTAGTCCGTTCGTGTAACAACGTTCTCATTTTCCCCATTTAAAATTTATGATATGATATGATCTACCATAAATGTTCCGTAATAAATGCTCCGTATTTTACATATTTTTGTATTTCGCCGCTATATACTATGAGCAAGTCAAATGTTCTTCGTGTTGCAACGTTTAATATTCGGTACGATTCTAGCCGCGGTTTAACCGCTTCGTCTTTGGAGAGAACTATGGACGCTTCTGGTGAGATGCCATGGAATAATAGAAAAAGAAAAGTTGTTGATACCATATTATTTCATAGGGTTGATATTGTTGGCATGCAGGTGAGTATACAGTACAAGCACAAATTGGCCAAGTTACGACATGTTAATAATATTTGTGCACTTGTTATTCTTACAGGAAGTTCTTAAAAACCAACTTATGGATCTTGAGGCTTTATTAGGTCAAGAATGGCGCTGGCTTGGGGTGGGCCGTGATGATGGGAAAGAAGCAGGTTTGTGCAAGAATAACAAGAATTTAATTGGTGTCGTCATTAACTGATATTGCGTAACGTTAATTTATTATCTTATTCAGGAGAATTCGTCCCAATATTTTATAATAAGTAAAGTTTTATTTTATTTATTTTATTTATCTTTTGGCTACATGATTATTGATTCAACAATACTCCCATAATTATTTATTTAGAAACCGCGTGGAGTTATTAGAGTCAAAATATTACTGGTTATCTAAAGTATGTCATGTTTCCACTTTTGCTCATTCATAGAACTAATAGGGATGTTTAAGTAGTCCACAAAGAGCTGTTTCAGGCCGAATCTGGAATTGGACTTATTAAGGACAGTCCAGAACCGGTCCGAAACTAGTCCGGATAAAATCTGTCGTTTTTTTGACACATTGAATAAAATTGAATAAAAGTGAGTCATGAGCAATACTTTTTTGGGATTTAACAATTGTTCTTGCGCCATCTGAAATAGGAAGTTCCAAAATTAGCATACGTAAGCTGCTGGGTAGACCGGTTTCAGACAGGGGGTGTGAACCAGTTCTTAACTAGGTCAGACTTTTTTAATGACCGGACCGGACTATTTAACATCCCTATTAGAACTATTTGTTGACTTTGTAGACTTAATTCAAATGTTACTTTACAGACACCCGATGTTCCCGGTAGTAAAGGTTGGGACGCTGACTTGCCTCGTAAGTTGTTTTTCATATATGATTACGAAGAATTTATCGTATCAAGGTTGTTTTTTTTACATAATTTCATTGATCCCATTTGAAAGGCGTTGTCACTCAAGCAAGGTTTGAATAAAAAAATTATCATCACCGTCTAAAAATATATAATGCATCATAAATCTAACTTATTTACATAACAGATTTCTGGACTTGATCACAAGCAAAAAGTTTTGGTTCATTAACACTCATTTCGATAATGCCGGGTCTCTCGCGCGTGAAGAAAGTGCAAAACTTATATTACGAAACTCACAAGATTTATTAATGTCTCCTGATATAGTTTTTCTGACTGGTGATTTCAATTGTGAAGAATATGATGAACCTTATAAATTACTTACTGGAAAGAAATACGCAAATAATAACGATAAATCACAATCAGATAATACTAATTTGGCTTCAATGCCATTCGGTGATACTCGATATGAGATCAGTAACAAATCTATTGAAACATCTTATGGTTTCTCCAATACCTTTACAGGCTTCTCATCAAGCATTAAACCAGTCAGGATTGACTTCATAATGGTTAATAATAATAGTTTGGAGGCACAAAATGTTAAAGTTTTAAACCATGGAACAATGCCTAATCTATACGATGATAATATGTATATCAGCGATCATCGACCAGTTGTTGCTGATTTGGTTTTTTAAAAATTCAAGTTTATCTATTTATTTATTTATTTAATTTATTTATTTGTAATTTAAATGTCTATAGTTGAAATTTTTGACGCAATAAGATAAAAGTAATATGAATGTCATAGAAAGCTCATGTCTTCTGTAGCCAAAGAGAGTCAGATTAATAAAATTGATGTCTTAACTTTCGCAGCCAATATCTCGATGAATTATGAATTTTAGGGATATCAGTGATTTAAAAGTGAAAAGATAGTTGAGCCTTAAACTCTATTTGCTTTCGAATCGAGATAACTTGGAATTAAAATTGTTAACCGACTTATCTGTCATGGACATTTCTAGAAATTATGGTACATCATTGACAAAAATGCCTTTTTAAACAGAACGTCATAATAATTTTTCGAAATTTGTAAAACAAAGTTAAGTCGAACTTTGTACTCTGCAAGGCGTCTAAGAAACATATCTAATATTAGGGATGTTAAGTAGTCAGACTATTTTAGTTTTTACAGTACAATTTATATGTAACCAACCTAGTCGAACTAGCTGGTTACATATAAATTGTACTGTAAAAACTAAAATAGTCTGACTACTTAACTAATATACGTAAAAAATTAAAAAAATTAAAGAATTAGGTAATAATAGTCCTTTAGATTTCCTTTCCGAATTATTGACGAAAATTAAAGTACAAACAACAAATTTGCTTAGTGATTCATTGAGTTACATAAAAATGCACAGAAACTAAGCGTTATAAATAGACATTTTATATGCTAGTAAAAGGATTCGCTATAAATATTCTCCTAAACATTAGGCAGGGACAATTATGCATGCAACAAAATAAAGTTATGCTTATTTTTTATCATTTATGCATATATTCTGCATTCCAAAATTATAATTATATATATACGTAGTATGTAAATTACCAATGTGCAATACATCTCATTTATTGTCCGGAGCGGAGTGGAGGTAGGGATGTTAAATAGTCAGACTATTTTAGTTTTTACAGTACAATTTATATGTAACCAACTTGGTCGAACTAGCTGGTTACATATAAATTGTACTGTAAAAACTAAAATAGTCTGACTACTTAACATCCCTAAGTGGAGGACTAGACCTGTAATGGGTGCTCCTGCATTAATCTTCAGATCGGAGTGAAAGTTTTACTATCCAGAATTGTGGTACCCTTGTAAGATAATAACAGGATACTTTACAAGAAAAAACATTCCTTTTCGATTCTACAAAGAATAAGTGACGAAAAAAGTAATAAAACAACGATACAATATTTTCATTGGCATCTGGCATAGAATCATATATCACAGTTGAATGTTTACATTAGAAACTTAAGATTATCTTTGTTATTTGAATGAAATAAGCTTTACATTTAACAAATAATTAAATTATTTTCGTGATAAGAATAAAATTACCGAGCCTAAGAAAAGTGATCATAAAAATTAATTGCTATTAAAAATCGAACAAACAAAATCAAGATCATAACGCTAAGAATCCAACCAATTTAGAGCCTTAAAAAAATGGATTGGCACTTGTTGGAATCGAACCAGCGGTATTAAAGTCTTAGGCGAGACCAACTTGCTTCTGTGTTCTACATTACCTCCTTCTACCAGTGTGTTCATGGAACAGGGACACGGACAACGGACAGTCCGGGACTGGTGTCCCGAAATCAAAACCACATCATGTGATTAATCATCATATATTCAACCAATCAGCATCACGGAAGCGGATAGACATAATTACATGTATATACAGTAAAACCTCCCTAAGTGCACCCTCCCTAAGTGCACACCCTCTTTAAGTGCATACTATAGCCCGGTCCCAAGCTTGGGACTTAATGCTAAATGCACCCTCCAACCTCTGCACCCTCTATAAATGCATACACGTGACCAATATAACCATTCTACCAATTGGAATAGTAATTTTGTCGGATATTCTCGGGAGATAGATGATAAATAAACACAAAAGACAAGCATGATCATTGGAAAGACTCACAATACTGTCAATTGCTGTAGTAGAGTAGAAAAAAATACTAATTCTATAAATGTACACCCTCCCTAGGTACATGCTATAGCCTGGTCTCAAGGGCATGCACTTAGAGAGGTTTCACTGTACTAGGCTAATGCATAGCATTGTGTGTCCGGAGCACATGATGATAATCATATAACACAAACGCATAAGCATACATATTTTTGTTGTACTAAATTACAAATTTGAACATGCATACAGACAAACCAAAAAATTCAAAATTACACTTTTGATCAAATTTTCAGAAGATTTATAATAATGCATCAAAAAAGGTACCTTTTTTATCAAAAATGTAACTTTTGTATCACTAAGTATAAAACTTAGGGTTTGTTGCTACAGTGACTTCCATTTGTTTTGCATCACCTATATTGATGTTGAAAAAATAGTAATATCTCGTGACTCGGTCACGATATTTGCCTACAAATTGGATAATTTGAAATAATAAGCATAGATATCATAGATAATCATTGAAATTAAATGATGTTATACTAAAACCAGATTTTTTTATTTAACTGATTCTAAAAATAGCGATGCAAATCATTTGATCGTTTACATATAAAAAATAACTGCATAAACAACTATAATTTTTTCTCACAAAACAAAAAAAAATTTCTAGCAAAAGTTTTAAATTTTTGCTTACATTTTTCGTTGTTGTGGCCCTCCTGCCTATAAACATAAACATGGTTCGTATTTCTGTTGAGAGAAGATCACGAATCTATTCTCTTGTTCGTGAAGGTTATCCTTCCCGTTACGTTGCAAAAAAAGAAGGTGTGTCGCAATCGTCGGTTGTTCGAATAACCCAAAAAGCAGCAAAAACAGGGTCTGTAAAAGATTTACCAAAATCAGGGCGCCCACGGGTGTTTACAGAGTGAGACGAATGAAGTATAGTCTGTCTACTTGCATCTGGTATATGTTCCAATGCTGTAGAAATCCAAAAAAAAATAAAAATTGACCATAAAATTAAAATAAGTAAAAACACAGTGAGGCATGCATTACGAAGAAGCGGGTTATCTGCCCGAGTGAAGCGAAAAAAACCAGTATTGACAAAAAAAACTCGCATAAACGCTATGAATTTGCAAAGAAATATAAAGGCTGGAGTGTTGAGGACTGGCGCCGCGTTATCTGGTCAGACGAATCCAAGTTTAAGATATATAGATCCGATGGACGTTAGTGGTGTTGGAAACAGCAGAATGAACCGCTTAATGAACGGCATGTGATTCCAACAAAGAAATATGGAGGCGGTAGTGTTATGGTATGAGGATGTTTTTCCTCCTTTGGAGTTGGAAATATTGTACGAATTTATGGGACAATGGACGGGGATCTATACCACCAAATTTTAACTGAAGATCTTCTAGGAACCATCCAGTGGCATAGAATCAATAAAAGGGATATAATATTCCAACAGGACAATGACTTAAAACACACTGCTACTGAGACTAAGGAGTGGTTCTACCATAATGACATAGAGGTACTTGACTAGCTGCCTTATTCACCCGATTTGAACCCTATTGAAAATTTATAGAATGAAATTGATTGATGAATAAGGCGGTTATCTATAGGGTTTCTGACCCGGATAAGCTTTGGGAAATAATTCAAAAAGTTTGGATTGAGATGGATATTGAGTATCTTAACAAGCTTATTGAAAGCATGCCACAACGAATAATTGATGTTTATAATGCAAGAGGAGGGTACACTAAATAGTGAACTTTTTAAAACTAAAGCTGTTTTTTTTTTTGTTTTTTTTTTTCTTTTTGTACTTTGCAAAATTTAAATTTTAACAAACTGATCAAAAGAAATGAATCGCAAAAAATTGAATAAATTTATTGTTGTTTGATTTTTTTTTTTTAATAAAATTAATAAATAACAATATTTTTGTATTAGTTTGAATTCAATAAATAAAATAAATAAAATTTATAATGATTAGTTGTTTATTGAAAAAATTATTTGATCTTAATGTTTATCTATTAGAGTGATGCAAAACAAATAGAAGTCACTGTATGCTCTGGCCAATTATTTATAGTTCGTAGTAAAAACAAAACATTCTTCATTTTGTAAACAATAAGTGATAATACCTAAATATTATTACTAAATCAATTGGATTAAACTATTTGACAGTTATTACAGTAAAAACAAAAGAATTCTTAATCTTATTTGATCATTTTTACATAAATTTTTATACTATTATAAATAATACTGAAATTGGATGATATTGAAATTAAAACCATTTAATATATGTTTTTAAAAAATTTTGAAGCATATTTTTTAAGCTCTTTTTTTTTTCTAGAATTAAACTAGGATTTAGTTTATAAAAGTAGATTTTATAGTAGTAAGGTTAATATTCTAAATTAAGGTTTTCAAATTTCAGTATCATCTATGAAATTCTTTAATCAAACTAATTTAAATTGATAATTTTGGCATTTTTATCAATTGAGAGCCAAGTTATTTGATTTTATATTTTATTATTCAAATACATATTATAAAATTGATTAATTAAATTATATAAACAAGAGTATTTTAAATACAGAACAGATAATCTAATAAAAACTATCTAGGCTTTAGTTCTTATTTTCTAGTTTATTAGCTATTTAGCTAAAAACAAAGAAATATCTCTAGGCTATTCAACTAGCATAACTTTACTAATATAATTCTTAACAAAAATTGCAGTAAAATTATAAAATAAAGATCTACAAAAAAAATATATATTAGTATATAAAAAAAAATGAGAGTATTGTAGACAGGGAAAGTATTGTGGTTAGGTAAGATATCTTGTAATCTAGTAATTAGAATTGAATAGTTTTGGTACTATTTAATTTATCTTAAAGAAATGAATTGAATGGTACTAAAATTATCTAGCTTCAATTACTAGATCATAAGTTATATATATTTATTTGTTTTTTTACTTAAAACAAGATTAACTAAAACCAAGTATTTATACTAAAAGTGTTAACCTTCGAGTATTATTCATAGTAATAAATTCAAATTTTAGTAATAGCTATTAAAAAGAATAAACTTGTACCAGTAAACCAATTATATTAAACAAAGATATATACATACAATCATGTAGTAGTAATATATATTTCATAGTATACAAATAAAAATATGTGTTAGTAAAAAAAAACTATCGAAGATAATCAAACATTTATACATGCTGCTTAATTTACACTTTCCTTTTTTGAAATTGTACTTGGTACAAAAATATAAAAAAGATTACTACTTAACTTACACTAGTTACTCACATGTATTGGTCATATCACATTAAATCACAAGTTAGTAAATTTAGCATTAGTAAATTTAAAGTATCAGAAGTTGAATAATTTTTTTATAACTCTTATTTAAGTGAATCAATTTAATTATTTTTATTTTTTTTAATCATGTTTAATTTAATTTAATTTATTTTTAATTATTTTTTTACATAATTTATTTTAATTATTTTTATATATTAATATTTTTTTTTTCTTTAATAAATAAAAATAAGATGCCAAAAGTTTCTAAAAACCAATATAAGCTTGAAGATAAGTGGCATAAAGCAATTTTTGTTACACTTAATGATTTCAAAAATTATTTTACTGATTTTAAATGCTCTAGTATAAGTAAGCTATCAAAAGATTATGAAATTCCTAGAACTATTCTTAAATATGCAATAAATAATAATAGCTCTTCTAAATGCTCAGATCCACCTACTATCCTAACTAAATATGAAAAAAGCCAAAATATTAGCTATTGTATTAATATGCAAAAGCTTGAATTTGGTCTAACTAAGTCTAGTATTAATTATTGTATAATAGAAATAATGCTAAGTAACAAATGACTATATCCATTTGGTGATGGTGGGCCAGGTCAAGATTGGTGCACCTGTTTTATAAAAGATCACCCCAAGCTATTGTTTTGTATTCTTTAAGAATTATCAAAAGCTCAGGCTTAAAAAGCAAATACAACAATTGTTAGAGACTATTTTAATAAACTTAAACAAGTAATTAATAAAAATTCATTTACTCCTTTACAAATTTGGAATATAGATGAGACTAGATTTGTTCTTGTACCTATATTAGAAAAAGTAATTGCAAAAAAAAGAGCACGGCAAATTCATAAAGTTGTATACAGAAATTCTACTGATCATATTTTTGTTGCATTTATAATTTTGGCTATCAGATTATATATTTCTTCTTTGAAAATTTACAAAGGTGCTTGTATAATTCTTGGTCTGTTAAAAGGTGCACCTCCAAGAATTATAATAGGGGTTTCAGATACTAGTTATATACAAAAAGATCTTTTTCTAATATACCTTACCTATTAACAAATCTGTTTTGCCTACTTGCTCAGTATTGTTAATATTTAATAATTACAAAAGCCATATAAATTACATAAATATTGAGTTCTACTGTAAAAATAGTATTCTTCTTTATGTGTTTTTATCTTATATGACCTATATTTTGTAGCTTTCTGAAATTCTCTTTGCAAAATTAAAAAGTGAATATAAAAAAGAATATGACAAATATTGAATTAATAATAATGACAAAATAATAATAAAATATATCTTTATAAAGGTTTTTGATTTAACTTTTCTTGAAACCTATATACTATTAGCTATTTACAATGCCTTTAAAAAAATTAAAATATAGCCATTTAATCCCAATGCTATTAGTCTAAACCACTTAGACCCTTTACTAGCAACAAACCAATTTAATAGTATATTTTTAACTAGTAAACTTTTAAATAACCAACTTTTTAGTATACAAAACTTTATTAACTAACTACTTTTTATACAACTTGTTGGATTGTTTTAATCTAAAAAACCAAATTATGTTTACTCTACTTGTTCAAATGTTGTGCTGTTAGAAAAAGAAAAAGACATTCTTAAAAATAAAAATGAAATACTTAAAAGTGAAAATAAAATACTAAAAACTCAATTTGTAGCAATAAAAGAAAAATTAAAAGCTTATAAAAATCTAGGAATATGTTCTCTAAGAACAGCCCTCAAATATCTAGTTTCTCGAACTTCTAAATCTAAAATATCAAAAGCTATTTCAAATCAACAGGAATCTAAATTGCATCCATTTAAAAAAAAAAAACTTTTCTATTTGTATGGCTTCTTACTTGTAAAGAAAGCTGAAAGCAGTTAAGAACTACAAGAAAAAAAGAGAATAAAAAAATCATTAAAACTAAATAAAGAAAAAAGATAGTGGCTTAAAAAAAAGAAAAGAGTGAATGAAAAAAAAAGAAATAGTACAAAAAAAAGAAAAAAAGGCACAACAAAAGGAAGAAGAGGCACGACAAAAGAAGAAAAGATATGACAAAAAGAAAGCAGAGATGTGGCTAAAAGAAGAAAAAAAAAATACAAGAAAATAGAACTATATATATAAAAAAAAAATCTTTTTTTTTTTTTAAATCTAAGATCAATCACAATATCTACTTTTTTCCAAAAATTAGCATTTTATATCCTCTTATATAATGATTATTTATACTCCAAAATAGTATATTATACAATACTTTTTTATAATATATTTATTCTATAATAGCATTAGTTTATATAGTAACTATAGCTTAAAATTTTATACATATAATAAAAAAGTTTCATTAGTAAAGATCTTAACTTGATTACAATATCTCTGTCTCTTTTATATCGTTACAAAGTAAATAGTAATACAGAGTAATATTAGTATAGCGTAGTATAGAAAATATTCTATTATTATATTGTTTATTATATATATATATATATATATTTTTAAGAAAGGTCTTTTCTCTATTCCTTTATTTCAAAATATATAATTGAATACAACTCGTATGAATTTATACATTTAATGAAAGAGAGTAGAAGTTAGGGCTCAAGTTTATCCTTGACCTATTCTTAGCTAAGATGGTCAAAAAACCTCTA